ACATTTTTTTCAAGTTAATAAATAAACTTACTTGTGAAGTTTACATGTTATAAATCCAAATCTAAAATCGACTAAATGAATATCAGTGAAATTTACAATCCCCCTTAGATCTTGATGATAGTATCTAACAATTGATRAATTCCATAACTTCAATTCCCAAGTAGTTTTAACTTAAATTGCAATGTTATAATTTAAAACAATTTCAATGCAACACTTAATATTGTTTTCTCCCACAAAGACTACGTAGATATAATTAAAAAGTATAATACTATTCACCTAAAATCATTTCTTTGGATTTTACTGATTGATTTAGGGTGGATGGTTTTCCACACAACGATGAAATCGTTGTCGATTTATATTTTAAAATATTATATACTGTAGTCACTTAGAAACTTTTGATAAGTACGTTTCCAGGTGTGTCATTATTACTTACCTATATTTCAACCAGATTTTAACTCACATAATTTATTTAACATGGCATTTAAGTACGACATTATAACATTGATCGAACTAGTAGAGCAACCTCCAACATTGTGGGATAAGTTCACTGATGATTATAAAGATAGAATTTTAAAAAAACATGAGCGGAGAGAAGTATTTTCATTTCTATAAAATCATTTTGGAGAAATGAGTAATGAAGATCAACATAAAATTGGTATGTTTATAGTTCAAATAATAGTTTATTAGTTTATTACGAAGTACACAATTGCTATGTGAAAAATTATAGTAATAATAATATTTGTAACTATGTATAGTAGGTATCAGTATACAATATTGTCAATTATTATTAGGTAAAATAATTCAAATTACATAACTATTTAAAAAAATACATTATAAAAGTTGGTTCACATTACACGTCATAGTATTATAATAGTATAATTAATAAAAAAAAATGAACGATATCWATATTTGAAAAATACGTAATTAAATGCTTGACATTTGCCATGGTAGAGAACTAGGACTTATAAAATAGTTAGCAAAATAATCTCTAATTTCATTAGCAGTTCGTCCACCTCTATTTGTAGGAACACGTTGAATACTTGTAAATCCATTTGAAGGAATATCTAAATTTTCAATTTGCTCGCCCAATTAATAACATCTTTCTTGCGTACCACATTGTGTAAAATTACACACGCTTTAACAATATCTTTGGCGAATGGTTTAGAAACATTTAAAGTCTTATGTAAAATCTGCCATTTGTTTGAAAGGATTACAAAAGTACATTTTTCATATCTGCGGGTACGTGTCAAACGATAATTAAAAATAAGTTTAGTTATATTTAATTGATGCCTTCCATATGGTCTTAATAGATTATTAGAAAGTGCAAAAGCTTCATCGCCAACTAACACATAAGGTAAATTTTCATTAAAAAAATTATTTAATGGTTCTGATGTTGGAATATTTAAGTTTTGTTCGTTTAACAATTTCCAAAAAACAGTTTCTTTAAAAACAGATGAATCACAATCTTTACCAAATACACCTAATATGTCTACGTAAATAAATTGATAGTTAGAATCTACTACAGCCATGAGAACGATAGAAAAATAATGTTTATAATAATAATTAGGATTCATAGATCCACTATTAGAACATTTTTTTACACGTACCTATAATATGTTTACCGTCTACTGCTCCGAGACAGCGAGGAAAATGTGCTGACTTTTCAAATTCATTTGCTATTTCTCTCCATTTTCTTTCACAAGGCTTTGGTAAATATTCTTCTTTAAATATCCTTCATAGGCAATTGAGAGCAAACATCTTTCACAATTTTTCGTATTGTTGAAATACCTAGTCGATAGTAATAATAACGTTCTGTAAATGTATTACCAGTTGCTAAATATCTGCAAAAAATATTTTAAAACAATGTTATAATTGTATATAATAAATAATAATATAGTAGGTATATTAATATATACCTATAACATTAATGTAATATAATTTATTAATTTATAATATTATGATGTATCTAATATATTTTAATATATAATAATATTAATTATGAAAGAATTAAAATTATTT